AAAATTATTGGACAAATATTTACAAACAGATAAACGAAACATCTACTACGAATCGTAATTATCCTCTATCGAATACATTAACAAAAACTCTAAATCACGAAGAAGTAAATCTAATTATTAAAGAGTGGGAAAAATTGCACCAATTATTTGAATTATATGCGGTTGATATTAATAAAGTTTTAGATCACTCTTTGTAAAATTTAACTGTTTATCTCTTTCATCTTATAATTTTTTGTTCTTGAATATTTACCTCCTTTTTTATTGCGCTGAAATTGAAATTTACATGTTTGTAATATTTATAATAAATAAAATCAGTCTTTATATCTTTTGCTTAAATTAGCAATGTAATATAAGATTTGAAAAGTAAAAAAATGGATAATACATGTGCTACCTGAAAATTTTTTTTGTACAATACATTCACGTGCATGAAAAAATAAACCATCCCATGTGATCATAACTGATGATCGACCCAATAAAAATTGCGATTTTATTGGTTGATCAAAAGTCACATAAAAACAAGATAAATGTATTTCAGTAAAGGTTTCAAAAAGAAAGACTAGTGAATTTGAATTAGCTACAAAATTACACAATTACTAAAAAAAAGATTAAACGGTGTTATCTAATTTCGATTGAACACTCTCCGCGTATGATTCAAAAGTTTGATACATCTTTTCCCATTTCAATTTTAAGTCGTTTGTGGTCACTTCACTCACAACACCATATTCTTCTATACTATCAAGTTCGAATTGGCTATCTTCTTTTCTCAGTTTAGCTTCGCTGGCTAAATTTCTCCATACATTTTCAAATTGTTTTACATTATAAAGTGAGATGCCCATGTTCTCAATCAGAGATTTAAGTACTATACTTCTAATTTCAGCATCTTCAAATTCTTGTATTTTCTCGTTAACTTTTTTCTCTTTGTATTTCTTGGTTGTAAATGTAGCAACAGTAGCACCAGTCACAATCAAACTAACACCAATTGTTAATGGCGCAGTAACCAACGCTGCAACCCCCAAGAAGATAGACGCTTTGCCCAATCTATTGACAGTTTTGTTTAATTTTTCACCCTCGGTTTCTAATGTTGCTTTTTGAGATTCATTATCTCGACTGTGTTTGGTGCTTTCATTTATAATACCTTTTAGTCTTTGAATGGTGGCTTCAAATTCCTTTGCAAGATCTTGAGACTCGTCGGCAATACGAGTAGCTGCGTTGACAAAAGCCTCACCCGTCTTATTTTCAAATCCAGTGGCCGAAAAAGACTTAATACATTGTATTATTTTCTTCGATAAATTAGCGGAAAGTTTACTAATCTCTGCACCCTTATCAAACAAATCTCGGATAACTTTACGTTCGGCTGTGATTTTCTCAATTAAGCCGTCTGTTATTTTGTCACCGGTAGTTAAAAGAGAACACTCATCAAACGCTTCGAGAGTTTGTTTAATTGCCTCGTCGTCAATTGTTAGGAGTCCTGGTACATCGAAAATTTTAAGAGCCGTGTTTTTGGAAGCTTGAGTATGCATTTTACTTTGACTTTGATTTAAACGGAAAAAAAATTACGTGGTCAGGGAGAGTTGTCATTGCTGGTTGTCATTGCTATTATCATTCTCGTACATTTTTGATTTAGGTGGCGTTTTTGCATCCCGGGGTACTTTAGATCGGGATTTTCTAATTGTTTTTCGATTTGCTTTCAATTTTATGCACTAACAAACAAATAGTAAATCATAATAATTGAAAGTAAGAAAAAATAAAGGATAATCAGACGGCTAGTGAATTGAATTAGCCACAAAATTACCATCCCTCTTTAAAGATTACCAGATTACCCTCATTATCATCATTATATTGAATTCATTCCATACATTCTTTATCTAAGCAATAATCTTTTTTCTTTGTAATTGTAACTAACTATTGTTCCAATACACATTTCAACTACATAAAAGGAAATCACTGTGAACGATTTTGAACAATGATACATGTCTCTTAACGAAGCTGATCGTTGTGATTATCGTTACAAAAAGGGAAATGCTTTGTTTCCATTTTTGATACCTGGACTGCGTAAAATTCTATAAGATTAAAAAACAGGGTTTGAGAGAATAAGGAATCTTTATTTTATTGACAAAACTGGCAAGAGTATATGCGCTTTAAGATCATGTACAAAAAGTGAAATATCGGACTTTTTAGAGAGCAATACTAAAAATATAAAAGAGTCAACCGCTAAATTCAAAACAAAGTAATTACATTGGAAAGGAATTTGCTACAAATAAAATGGTGAATGTAAAGTTGATTTTCCTCTTGCTTTTAATTAATCAATATTAACTTTAAAACCTCACGTATATTGAAACAGAACTCAATCAAACAATGCATTCTTGCTGTGGGTAAAACCGGCAATGGGAAAAGCTTCACAGGCACTATTCTCGGCGCACAAACTCGTGTCGGATCAACTTCCAATTCCGAGACTAATCAAGTATCCATACATCCGTGTGGCAACGATAGATTCTACATTGATACTCCTGGATTCGACGACTCCGATGAAAACGTTGATGACGCTAATACGGCAAGAGCAGTATTAAAATCCATGGCGGATCAGCAAATTCATAAATTAAACACTATACTTTGGTTCGTGACCCCTGACTTACGTGCTACTCAGTCGTATAAACGTCAAGCTAGATTTATCGAATCCTTGGCTCAATATCATGACGGAAATGTTTGGGATAACACGATCATTGTCACTAAAGGATTGGAAACCGGTACGGGTGCACGCGAAGCAGCGCTAGAAACTGCCAAAAAGTTTTATAAACTTAAACATGGAGAAGAAGTGAATTACGACATTGATTTATTAGAAAACACAAAGACATTTCAAATATATTTATTTGAAAATCTTGATGAAAGGAATGTGTACAGAAAACAAAATTTTGATAGTGGTACACTTAATGAGTATGGCATTTATAAAAAAAGTGAGCCAGAAAGGATTCGAGCAGCCTATGAAACGTTAATGGCAGGACATGAAAAGCATCCGGTTAAACTTTTGTTCATAGAAGCGGAATGTTTAAACTGTCCTGAAAAATCTGATCCACGATTGGCAAGTTCAAATTGTCATGGCCAGTTGACAAGTATTCACGGCGCGGAACATAAAAAGATCCATACCGGTCAAAGAATAAAACGGCATACTAGAAGGAAGATCTGCAAACATCCGGGACCTTTAATTTCGTATCATCCTGGCAATTGGTATCGTTCTCATACTGATTCCTCATTTACTCATCCGGGTCAAATAATTGGTGGAACACCTTATACAGAATTCCATCATTATTTAATTTTCGTACTTGGAACGGAGACAAAATACACGCCAAAAACTTATTCATGCTGCGGTGGTGACCCTGGTTCTGATGGCTGTAGTTATGCATGTTGTGGCAGTAAATCTACAGCTGGTTGCAAAGAAGCTTATACTTGTTGTGGTAGTCTTGACAAATGTAAGCAAAAATATTCTTGCTGTGGATCTGAAAATGCCAAAGGTTGTGTTAACAATTGGGAATGTTGCGGTGAAGAAAGTGATGATGGATGTCTTCATGAATACACGTGCTGCAAAGCTTCTCAACAATGCGAAAAACGAGAATGCTGTAGTATTGTAAGCGGTGAAAATGGCAAAGGTTGCCATCCTGTATTCAAATGTTGTGGCGGAGAACTTTACTCGACAGGATGCCAATCTGTATGCCAAGTATGTCGTGAAGATATTTTTTCTACTCCCGGTTGTGGCGCCAAAACTAAACATGATTACGGTCCAAATGTTCCACAACCTTATGGTTGGCATTTATAATATTTATTTCTTTCGCTTGTTGTATTCGATAGAGGATAATTACGATTCGTAGTAGATGTTTCGTTTATCTGTTTGTAAATATTTGTCCAATAATTTTCAAAATCTTTCACTAATTGGACAATAACTTCCAAATTATCTTGCAATTTCTTTATAGCAAGCAACGCGTCAAATGTATTTTGATTTCGAGCTTCCAAATCAGTTATAGGTTGCGTTTTGCGAGATAGTAATTGAAATATTCTGCATGATAAAAATGAAAGCCAACTGAATGGCCGGTACTCGACGATGATTAATTGTATCTTGTAAAATGGATCATCTGGATAGTCAGGCGCGTAAATTTCACCTAATCGGTCAATTATCTTTGCTATTATCCAAAGTTTGGAGAATACAGAAGAACGACGAGGTTTGGTGACAGATTCAATTCTTTTTTTTCTGGCATTATCTAATTCATCGTATGCCTCGGCAAGCTTTAAGTTGATCTCTTCATATCCGTTGCTTAACTGTTTGCACTCCTCGACAATTCGGGAGCAAGAATTTTTCAATTTATATAAAATTCGTTTTTTTTCAATATCCTCTTGTATTTTTGTCAGATCTATTTTACGAATATAATCGATCACATCACTCGCTAGATTTGCTGATCTTTTACTATTTAAATGGCTTTCGTTTAATAATTTTCGAAAGAGTCGTCCTTGGCTCTTCACTTGGACGACGATGCCTTCGTAATATTTATCATCATCCGTGACTTGCTCCGACGGAAAAAATGATAAAGTTGAGAGAGAAAAGAAAATTTCTTCTTGGATATTTATAATATTTTCGCGTGCTATCTTTGGCGCTTTTATTTTGAAAGCTTGAATTATATCCGTATCGTAAATACTCATTTTTATCCGATGAAAAATGATGAGTCGTCGTCCTCTTATAATATTATAATTTTTCCTTACTTCAATTATTATGATTTACTATTTGTTTTGTTCGTGCATAAAATTGAAAAGCAAATCGAAAAACAATTAGAAAAATCCCGATCTAAAAGTACCCATGGATGCAAGTTTATGCATCACGCCGCATAAATCAAAATGTATCACAAGGCACGAGAAATTCCTATTTATGCAAAGCAATAGCAATGTAATAGCAATGTTCATTCTTTCCTGACCACCACGTAGTTTTTTTCCGTTTAAATCAAATCCAAGTAAAATGCATATTCAAGCTTCCAACAATATTCAAGCTTCCAACAATATTCAAGCTTCCAACGACATTCAAGCTTCCAACAACATTCAAGCTTCCAACAACATTCAAGCTTCCAATAACACGGTTCTTAAGATTTTTGATGTACCAGAACTTCCAACAATTGACGACGAGGCAATTAAACAAACTCTCGAAGCGTTTGATGAATGTTCTCGTTTAAAAAGCCGTGACGAAATAACAGACGGTTTAGTTAAGAAGTTTACAGCTGAACGTAAAGTTCTCAGAGATTTATTTGATAAGAGTGTAAAGATCAGTAAACTTTCCGCTAACCTATCGAAGAGAATAATACTATTTATTGAATCTTTTTCGTCCGTTGGATTCGAAAATATGACGGGGGAGGCTTTTGTCAACGCAGCTACTCGTATTGCCGACGAGACTCAAGAACTTGCAAAGGAATTTGACAATGTCATTCAAAAACTAAATGATATGATGGAGGAAAGCACCAAACACAGTCAAGACAATGAATCTCAAAAAGAAACATTAGGAATCGAGAGTGAAAAATTAAACAAAACTGTCGGCAAATTGGGCAAAGCGTCTATCGCCTTGGGAGTTGCAGCGTTGCTTGCTGCACCATTGACAGCTGGTGTTAGTTTGATTGCGGCTGAGATTGTTGCGGTTGAGGCAGTTGTTGCTACTACTGCTACATCAGTTACTGCTGCTATTGCCGCATTTACATCCAAGAAATACAAAGAGAAGAAAGCTAACGAGAAAATACAAGAATTTGAAGATGCTGACGCTAACTGTTTAGTACTTAAATCTCTGGTTGGAAAGATGGGCATCTCACTTTATAATGTAAAACAATTTGAAAATGTATGGAGAAGTTTAGCCACCGAAGCTAAACTGAGAAAAGAGGATAACCAATTCGAACTTGATAGTATAGAAGAATATGGTGTTGTGAGTGAAGTGACCACAAACGACTTAAAATTGAAATGGGAAAAGATGTATCAAACTTTTGAATCATACGCAGAGAGTGTTCAATCGAAATTAGATAACACCGTTTAATCTTTTTTTTATTTCTTTTTGATTATACATTAGATATTTAGTTTTTTCGTTTATATTACGCATTGTAATGATTATCGTTATTAATTAATAAACTATGATTGATCGATGCAGTCAGCTGACACAATTCTCGGCCGCTTGATAAATTCCAGTAGTTTTGTTTTGATGAAATGCTACCAGTTTATGTTCATACAAAAAATTACGACTTTATGAAATACTTTTGTTAAAAACAAAAGCTAACCTTATGCAAGAATTGACCTATTTTTGATAATTATTGCTTTGATTTTCATGAATCGAATCCTTTCCGATTTGGAATCCGATTCTAGCTGAAATTGAATAAGTTATTCCATCTGCAGTGGAACGAAAAACGCGAGATCTGACTAGATGTCATCGTAAATCGATCCAAAGGAAATTATTAAGGTAAATGAAAAAAATAACGATATTCATGTCAAAGAAGAGATACCTTTCATTCTCGTATATTCCCGTGGTCTCTTTGCAAGACACTTGAGTATTGCACGAAAACTTACCTTCGACCTACAATAAATCAATTCGGTTTGGCATTGAGGCCTAAATAAACAGTAAAAATATGAGTATGCATATAGGAGAGTGCTTGTCATCATTTATAAGCGTTGACCGCTGATCCGAATAAATAAATGATGGCCTGATGATTGAACGTAGTAAGTCTTTGTTGTTTATTCGTGGATTCCCGTATCAACGTTTGATTTCTGCTTATTTTCCAAAAATATTGTTTTTCTCTAAAAGAACAGATGAATCTCACAATGCTGACAAATATTGATATGGCAAAGGATGTATAAGATCTTTATGTTGTATAGCTGATTTTGTATCAGGAACCGTCAAAAGTTTTGATATTTTAAAACAGGGAAATAAGATCATAGATATTTATTGATTGAGAAAGTTAAAAGAACTCGATACAATTGTTTATAAAAAAAAGAAAAAAAAAGAAAAGGGAAGATTGCATCCCATATATTCAAAGAACCAAGAAATACACAACTATAAAAATAACAGATTATATATAGTTCAAAAATTTAACCGAAGAAAGTTCCACATTACTCCAATGGCTGTCTCTTAATAACCCACTCGTGTCCTAACTTCATCCCATTTTGATTCTTCAGTTCGATATACGCTTTAGTCGCATCAATGTTACAGCTATACACCATGCTAGAAGTTGTGATACAATCACTGACTTTGGATTTAATCAGATTTTTAGCAGGATTTTCGCCTTGAAACGCGGCAACAAGCGTCGTCGATAGTATTTTGCCGGGGGAATGTTGTTCTTCGTCTTGTGGTTGCTGCTGCTGCTGCTGCTGCTGCTGTTGTTGTGATTTTTTAAGAGAAATCAGATTTTCCAGAACGACAAAAACTTCATTGCAATTTGCTGCTGTCGTTGATTTAGAAGAAGGTTGACGGTCTTCTTCGAGTTCAAGTTTATTGAGTTTACCCTCAAGATATCGATTTTTATCTTTGAGTCTCGCGTTTTCTTGTTCAAGTTTTGCTTTTTCTTGTTCGAGTTGGTGAGTAACTTTGCCGATTTTTTGTTGTGAACGAGATTTGAAATTTTTGTTTTGTTCTCGTAATTCATCAACTTTTTTCTTTTCATCTTCTAATTCAGTTTCCAGATCAGTGATTTTATCTGTTAATTTTTTATTCACCTCTTCTAAATGAACGTTCTTTGACCAGAGATCAAACAGCTCTTCACGAAGACATCCAACTTCAGAACTGACATTCTTATTATCATTACTATGATCGTCATCATTATTGTTGCAGCACTTGTTGGGGACTATTAAGGTGACAAGATTCACGAGTTGACGCCATTGTCTGCACACATTTTTAACGACGGGGAATGAATTTTTTGGGAGATGAGAGAAAATCACAAGTAAAAGATTCGTGTCAGTTAATACTTTGTTAACTGGTGAGTTATCATCGTCAATCGATAATCTGGCAGTTGATAAATTATTATTTTCTTCGTCGGGGGCGACGTAGTAATCGTCATCTTCGTCGTCGTAAAAGACCTCGCTGGTGTTATTATTTAAAATCACCATGGTTTTTTTTTAAATTTTGGATTGTTTATTATTTTAAAAATTCTTATTTTCAAAATAACAACCACCAAACAACGACAAAATCAATAAACTTTTTAGGATCTACTTGTATTTTTATAATAACGTATTTTATTCGGAATAAGAATCATTTGATCTATCGCTATCGCCTGTGCAACACATAGCATTAAAATAGACACATGCACTATTTGATAAATGACCTGTTTTTTCCCAGGTACGACATCTTTCAAAGTTTGTACATGTACAATACTTCAAGTACACGTAGTTTATTTTTTTATCGTTATCCTTATCGTTATGGTATGATTATTATTTTACAAACTTTTATTATAATAAAAGTGGGCAATTGTTAAAAAATTTGATAAACAACGAGTCCTAGTGACTGGTAATATTGCAATGCACTTGTAAGATATCTCGGATGAAATGAGATATGTAGTCCAACTTATTAATTTCGATAACCGAATATTCAATATCAACAAACCTTATTTATTATGCAAAAAGGCTCCGAACAAATGAAAATTTGACAAGTCCAGCAAAGATAAATACCAATACCTAATGATTCTTCTAAACCTTATGTGGATTAAAAGATCTCTTAAGGCGCCCCGGATTTCATCTTGGATTACGTTACAGTAATTTAAATTTTCTAATTAAACTGATTACAAAGATAAAAAAAGCTACGGTCGATAAATTTGATTGCGATTCTTGAACTTTGGGTACCGTTTCCCTCGAGATATTTTAACGTTGCCAGGAAGTAAATCATTTATTTATTGAATGCAGTATGCAGTATGAAGAAGTATGACCAGGTGGCTTACTGGAATACACGCGGAAAATGTGATGGTCCGTCCAATTACGTAATTGAGAGAACTTATAAAAAAAACCAAACTCCGAAAACGAAAAAATTATGTGGTTTTTAAAATCACGTTGGGAAAATGATTGTTGTCAAATTGATACAATACAAAAACGGGTTGTTAAGGGCTGAACAATCATCACCAATTACTTTCTTCTATCATCTATCAACAATATTATTATTGTGCGCCAAGTCTAAACATATCAATTGCTGCGCGCAGCACTCAAATTTGAGTTATATCGATATATTATATAATCAATGTGAAATAAGAAGACTTACGTGTACATAAATAAATACATGTGATTATGAGAGTAATATCGATATTTTTTAATTTTGCTTTTTTTGAATTAGAATTTTATTGTTTAAAATTGATACTGCAAATTTTGTGTAATACAGAACTTTCCTTTTATGATTTAACATATTTTTTAATTCTAAAAATTTTATTAATTAAATATGATGTATCTTATGACTAGAAAAATCCAAAAATATATTAAATTATAGATTATATATTTTAGTTTATATAAAATTAAAATATTTGTTAATAAAATTAAAACTTTATACTTTAAAAATCATTAAATTTTTATTTAATATTATAAATTATATTTATATAATATTATTTATATTAAAAATATCAATATAAATAAAGTTATTACAATAAGAAATAGTATAAAACTTTTGTTTTAAGTTATTTATATTAGTTTATAATTTAGAAAAATAAAATAAAAATATATTTTAATTAAACAATAATATTTTAACTAGATTATAATTTGATTAAAATAATTTTTAATTTACTTTATATAATATTATTTTAGAGTTTTTATTATTTATTTATTATTGATAATTTTATAAGAAAAGAAATCATAGATATCTCTAAGTTTGATATTTTATTATTATATTTATATTTTATAAATTTTTAATTTTTATAAATTAATTATTATATAATAGTAATATTATAAAATATTTTTGTTTTCATTATATATATTTATTATTTTCATTATAAATTATATTATATAATAAAAATTATTAGATATTTATAAATATTATTATTTTTATTATATAAAACTTCTTTAAAATTTAATATCATGAAATTAAGTAATAAAAATTAAATATAAAGTTTATTTTTCAGTATAATAAAATTGAAAAAATTAAATAATATATTTTATACAAGATTTTATTATTAAATCTTGAAATATTAAGTTTTAAAAGTTTATATAATAAATAATTTTATATAATTATTTTAAAACTTAAATTTAATAATAAAAATCTTATATAAAATATATTATTTAATTTTTTAAAATATTAAGTTTTAAAAAGTTATATAATAAATTATATACAGTGGCAATCAAAAATAATACAACGCTTAAATTTTTTACTAATTATAATTAGTAAAAAATTTAAGCGTTGTATTATTTTTGATTGCCACTGTATATAATTTATTATATAACTTTTTAAAACTTAATATTTTAAAAAATTAAATAATATATTTTATATAAGATTTTTATTATTAAATTTAAGTTTTAAAATAATTATATAAAATTATTTATTATATAAACTTTTAAAACTTAATATTTCAAGATTTAATAATAAAATCTTGTATAAAATATATTATTTAATTTTTTCAATTTTATTATACTGAAAAATAAACTTTATATTTAATTTTTATTACTTAATTTCATGATATTAAATTTTAAAGAAGTTTTATATAATAAAAATAATAATATTTATAAATATCTAATAATTTTTATTATATAATATAATTTATAATGAAAATAATAAATATATATAATGAAAACAAAAATATTTTATAATATTACTATTATATAATAATTAATTTATAAAAATTAAAAATTTATAAAATATAAATATAATAATAAAATATCAAACTTAGAGATATCTATGATTTCTTTTCTTATAAAATTATCAATAATAAATAAATAATAAAAACTCTAAAATAATATTATATAAAGTAAATTAAAAATTATTTTAATCAAATTATAATCTAGTTAAAATATTATTGTTTAATTAAAATATATTTTTATTTTATTTTTCTAAATTATAAACTAATATAAATAACTTAAAACAAAAGTTTTATACTATTTCTTATTGTAATAACTTTATTTATATTGATATTTTTAATATAAATAATATTATATAAATATAATTTATAATATTAAATAAAAATTTAATGATTTTTAAAGTATAAAGTTTTAATTTTATTAACAAATATTTTAATTTTATATAAACTAAAATATATAATCTATAATTTAATATATTTTTGGATTTTTCTAGTCATAAGATACATCATATTTAATTAATAAAATTTTTAGAATTAAAAAATATGTTAAATCATAAAAGGAAAGTTCTGTATTACACAAAATTTGCAGTATCAATTTTAAACAATAAAATTCTAATTCAAAAAAAGCAAAATTAAAAAATATCGATATTACTCTCATAATCACATGTATTTATTTATGTACACGTAAGTCTTCTTATTTCACATTGATTATATAATATATCGATATAACTCAAATTTGAGTGCTGCGCGCAGCAATTGATATGTTTAGACTTGGCGCACAATAATAATATTGTTGATAGATGATAGAAGAAAGTAATTGGTGATGATTGTTCAGCCCTTAACAACCCGTTTTTGTATTGTATCAATTTGACAACAATCATTTTCCCAACGTGATTTTAAAAACCACATAATTTTTTCGTTTTCGGAGTTTGGTTTTTTTTATAAGTTCTCTCAATTACGTAATTGGACGGACCATCACATTTTCCGCGTGTATTCCAGTAAGCCACCTGGTCATACTTCTTCATACTGCATACTGCATTCAATAAATAAATGATTTACTTCCTGGCAACGTTAAAATATCTCGAGGGAAACGGTACCCAAAGTTCAAGAATCGCAATCAAATTTATCGACCGTAGCTTTTTTTATCTTTGTAATCAGTTTAATTAGAAAATTTAAATTACTGTAACGTAATCCAAGATGAAATCCGGGGCGCCTTAAGAGATCTTTTAATCCACATAAGGTTTAGAAGAATCATTAGGTATTGGTATTTATCTTTGCTGGACTTGTCAAATTTTCATTTGTTCGGAGCCTTTTTGCATAATAAATAAGGTTTGTTGATATTGAATATTCGGTTATCGAAATTAATAAGTTGGACTACATATCTCATTTCATCCGAGATATCTTACAAGTGCATTGCAATATTACCAGTCACTAGGACTCGTTGTTTATCAAATTTTTTAACAATTGCCCACTTTTATTATAATAAAAGTTTGTAAAATAATAATCATACCATAACGATAAGGATAACGATAAAAAAATAAACTACGTGTACTTGAAGTATTGTACATGTACAAACTTTGAAAGATGTCGTACCTGGGAAAAAACAGGTCATTTATCAAATAGTGCATGTGTCTATTTTAATGCTATGTGTTGCACAGGCGATAGCGATAGATCAAATGATTCTTATTCCGAATAAAATACGTTATTATAAAAATACAAGTAGATCCTAAAAAGTTTATTGATTTTGTCGTTGTTTGGTGGTTGTTATTTTGAAAATAAGAATTTTTAAAATAATAAACAATCCAAAATTTAAAAAAAAACCATGGTGATTTTAAATAATAACACCAGCGAGGTCTTTTACGACGACGAAGATGACGATTACTACGTCGCCCCCGACGAAGAAAATAATAATTTATCAACTGCCAGATTATCGATTGACGATGATAACTCACCAGTTAACAAAGTATTAACTGACACGAATCTTTTACTTGTGATTTTCTCTCATCTCCCAAAAAATTCATTCCCCGTCGTTAAAAATGTGTGCAGACAATGGCGTCAACTCGTGAATCTTGTCACCTTAATAGTCCCCAACAAGTGCTGCAACAATAATGATGACGATCATAGTAATGATAATAAGAATGTCAGTTCTGAAGTTGGATGTCTTCGTGAAGAGCTGTTTGATCTCTGGTCAAAGAACGTTCATTTAGAAGAGGTGAATAAAAAATTAACAGATAAAATCACTGATCTGGAAACTGAATTAGAAGATGAAAAGAAAAAAGTTGATGAATTACGAGAACAAAACAAAAATTTCAAATCTCGTTCACAACAAAAAATCGGCAAAGTTACTCACCAACTCGAACAAGAAAAAGCAAAACTTGAACAAGAAAACGCGAGACTCAAAGATAAAAATCGATATCTTGAGGGTAAACTCAATAAACTTGAACTCGAAGAAGACCGTCAACCTTCTTCTAAATCAACGACAGCAGCAAATTGCAATGAAGTTTTTGTCGTTCTGGAAAATCTGATTTCTCTTAAAAAATCACAACAACAGCAGCAGCAGCAGCAGCAGCAGCAACCACAAGACGAAGAACAACATTCCCCCGGCAAAATACTATCGACGACGCTTGTTGCCGCGTTTCAAGGCGAAAATCCTGCTAAAAATCTGATTAAATCCAAAGTCAGTGATTGTATCACAACTTCTAGCATGGTGTATAGCTGTAACATTGATGCGACTAAAGCGTATATCGAACTGAAGAATCAAAATGGGATGAAGTTAGGACACGAGTGGGTTATTAAGAGACAGCCATTGGAGTAATGTGGAACTTTCTTCGGTTAAATTTTTGAACTATATATAATCTGTTATTTTTATAGTTGTGTATTTCTTGGTTCTTTGAATATATGGGATGCAATCTTCCCTTTTCTTTTTTTTTCTTTTTTTTATAAACAATTGTATCGAGTTCTTTTAACTTTCTCAATCAATAAATATCTATGATCTTATTTCCCTGTTTTAAAATATCAAAACTTTTGACGGTTCCTGATACAAAATCAGCTATACAACATAAAGATCTTATACATCCTTTGCCATATCAATATTTGTCAGCATTGTGAGATTCATCTGTTCTTTTAGAGAAAAACAATATTTTTGGAAAATAAGCAGAAATCAAACGTTGATACGGGAATCCACGAATAAACAACAAAGACTTACTACGTTCAATCATCAGGCCATCATTTATTTATTCGGATCAGCGGTCAACGCTTATAAATGATGACAAGCACTCTCCTATATGCATACTCATATTTTTACTGTTTATTTAGGCCTCAATGCCAAACCGAATTGATTTATTGTAGGTCGAAGGTAAGTTTTCGTGCAATACTCAAGTGTCTTGCAAAGAGACCACGGGAATATACGAGAATGAAAGGTATCTCTTCTTTGACATGAATATCGTTATTTTTTTCATTTACCTTAATAATTTCCTTTGGATCGATTTACGATGACATCTAGTCAGATCTCGCGTTTTTCGTTCCACTGCAGATGGAATAACTTATTCAATTTCAGCTAGAATCGGATTCCAAATCGGAAAGGATTCGATTCATGAAAATCAAAGCAATAATTATCAAAAATAGGTCAATTCTTGCATAAGGTTAGCTTTTGTTTTTAACAAAAGTATTTCATAAAGTCGTAATTTTTTGTATGAACATAAACTGGTAGCATTTCATCAAAACAAAACTACTGGAATTTATCAAGCGGCCGAGAATTGTGTCAGCTGACTGCATCGATCAATCATAGTTTATTAATTAATAACGATAATCATTACAATGCGTAATATAAACGAAAAAACTAAATATCTAATGTATAATCAAAAAGAAATAAAAAAAAGATTAAACGGTGTTATCTAATTTCGATTGAACACTCTCTGCGTATGATTCAAAAGTTTGATACATCTTTTCCCATTTCAATTTTAAGTCGTTTGTGGTCACTTCACTCACAACACCATATTCTTCTATACTATCAAGTTCGAATTGGTTATCCTCTTTTCTCAGTTTAGCTTCGGTGGCTAAACTTCTCCATACATTTTCAAATTGTTTTACATTATAAAGTGAGATGCCCATCTTTCCAACCAGAGATTTAAGTACTAAACAGTTAGCGTCAGCATCTTCAAATTCTTGTATTTTCTCGTTAGCTTTCTTCTCTTTGTATTTCTTGGATGTAAATGCGGCAATAGCAGCAGTAACTGATGTAGCAGTAGTAGCAACAACTGCCTCAACCGCAACAATCTCAGCCGCAATCAAACTAACACCAGCTGTCAATGGTGCAGCAAGCAACGCTGCAACTCCCAAGGCGATAGACGCTTTGCCCAATTTGCCGACAGTTTTGTTTAATTTTTCACTCTCGATTCCTAATGTTTCTTTTTGAGATTCATTGTCTTGACTGTGTTTGGTGCTTTCCTCCATCATATCATTTAGTTTTTGAATGACATTGTCAAATTCCTTTGCAAGTTCTTGAGTCTCGTCGGCAATACGAGTAGCTGCGTTGACAAAAGCCTCCCCCGTCATATTTTCGAATCCAACGGACGAAAAAGATTCAATAAATAGTATTATTCTCTTCGATAGGTTAGCGGAAAGTTTACTGATCTTTACACTCTTATCAAATAAATCTCTGAGAACTTTACGTTCAGCTGTAAACTTCTTAACTAAACCGTCTGTTATTTCGTCACGGCTTTTTAAACGAGAACATTCATCAAACGCTTCGAGAGTTTGTTTAATTGCCTCGTCGTCAATTGTTGGAAGTTCTGGTACATCAAAAATCTTAAGAACCGTGTTATTGGAAGCTTGAATGTTGTTGGAAGCTTGAATGTTGTTGGAAGCTTGAATGTCGTTGGAAGCTTGAATATTGTTGGAAGCTTGAATATTGTTGGAAGCTTGAATATGCATTTTACTTGGATTTGATTTAAACGGAAAAAAACTACGTGGTGGTCAGGAAAGAATGAACATTGCTATTACATTGCTATTGCTTTGCATAAATAGGAATTTCTCGTGCCTTGTGATACATTTTGATTTATGCGGCGTGATGCATAAACTTGCATCCATGGGTACTTTTAGATCGGGATTTTTCTAATTGTTTTTCGATTTGCTTTTCAATTTTATGCACGAACAAAACAAATAGTAAATCATAATAATTGAAGTAAGGAAAAATTATAATATTATAAGAGGACGACGACTCATCATTTTTCATCGGATAAAAATGAGTATTTACGATACGGATATAATTCAAGCTTTCAAAATAAAAGCGCCAAAGATAGCACGCGAAAATATTATAAATATCCAAGAAGAAATTTTCTTTTCTCTCTCAACTTTATCATTTTTTCCGTCGGAGCAAGTCACGGATGATGATAAATATTACGAAGGCATCGTCGTCCAAGTGAAGAGCCAAGGACGACTCTTTCGAAAATTATTAAACGAAAGCCATTTAAATAGTAAAAGATCAGCAAATCTAGCGAGTGATGTGATCGATTATATTCGTAAAATAGATCTGACAAAAATACAAGAGGATATTGAAAAAAAACGAATTTTATATAAATTGAAAAATTCTTGCTCCCGAATTGTCGAGGAGTGCAAACAGTTAAGCAACGGATATGAAGAGATCAACTTAAAGCTTGCCGAGGCATACGATGAATTAGATAATGCCAGAAAAAAAAGAATTGAATCTGTCACCAAACCTCGTCGTTCTTCTGTATTCTCCAAACTTTGGATAATAGCAAAGATAATTGACCGATTAGGTGAAATTTACGCGCCTGACTATCCAGATGATCCATTTTACAAGATACAATTAATCATCGTCGAGTACCGGCCATTCAGTTGGCTTTCATTTTTATCATGCAGAATATTTCAATTACTATCTCGCAAAACGCAACCTATAACTGATTTGGAAGCTCGAAATCAAAATACATTTGACGCGTTGCTTGCTATAAAGAAATTGCAAGATAATTTGGAAGTTATTGTCCAATTAGTGAAAGATTTTGAAAATTATTGGACAAATATTTACAAACAGATAAACGAAACATCTACTACGAATCGTAATTATCCTCTATCGAATACA